TCCTTGAAGTTAAAATGTGTGCGTGACTTTTCGGTTGTGCGCGCCGACTTCGGTGATGTTGGCGGATCGAAAGTAAAATGTTTGGTGCCACTGCTAGGCGCTGGTGCTGTACTCGGCAGTCGTTCTGCGTTGTTGGAGGTTGTTAGTTTGGCGGCGGGTGGAGCAGACATGCCGCATTTGTTGCTCTGTTGACGACGATGCGAGGCAAGGAGCGGTGTGGTTGAAGATGGCTCAATTGTGAGAATAGACAGCGATGACTCCTGACTCTGCGTGGTCAAAAATGGAAGCATAGAAAAGTAATAGGGAATTATTTCAAGTGTCAGATTTATAGTTAAAAAAAATATAGATGTGTACTTTTTATGCGACCGGAACACACGGCGCATCGCATATCGACGGCTGAGTGTATGATCAATCCATCTCGGCAGACGGTTCAAAAACGCCCTATCTCAAAGATCGGCCCAAGAATGCCTACTTCAGAATTTGGTTGGAGAACGCTCTGTCTCAACTGAAAATATATTAAAAATATATTTATATGCGTTTTGGAACCGAATTCTGATATAAAGCGTTCTTGAAACATTTTCTGAGATGATCTAGGGCCTTTTCGAACCGGCTGCCGAGATATAGGTCGATCGTCTACTCATCCGTCGATATATTCTAAGAAAAGTATGTGTAGAAGATAATGCAATAAATGTAGCATACTTGTTTGGTATTTGCTAATTAAGCGCCTTGACGAATTCAAGAGTGAAAAACGAGGATTTCGCCTAATTTCTTTACGATTTAGATAATTATTTTTGTTATTGACAAATATTTGCTTTACGGGCTTAAAATCAAAAAGTTATTGACTAAGCTGATGATTTCTTGCAAAATGAACTCAAATTTTTGCTCTTCTTTTGAAAATTCAACTAGAGTCCTTAAATTTCAGCTATAAAACCTAAATGAAGTAGTACTCTCAACAGAAGCGACACGCTCAACAGAGGTTCATAAGACAATCTCTGGGTCCGGCAACATATATAGGCCAGAAACGGCATTCAGAGTCGGGAGTCGGTGTCGACTTACATCGACTGCCGATTTGTGAATGCCCCGTTAGGAGCACAACCATCCGACGTAGATGGGACAGAGCTTTGTCTGCCTCGGGAGATTCGCCCAACTTCGCTGTGGCTACTGCAGCAGGCTAAACTCGTTCCTTTTCGCATGGCCTCGAAACCCCACCCAGCCAACGCCCTGTCCCTATGGACAGACCCGATGGAAGTTGCACACTTCCTGGGCCTACCTTTAGCTGAGCCTGAGGACAACTTTGATGAACAAGCCGACCCGAGTGGGATTTAGTAGATGCTACAACAACAACAGGAGCGACATGAATACGTACGTACATTTTAGAAGTCTTTTAGTTTGCCGAAGAAGTAGTAAATGCGAAGGATTTCACAAAAACGTATTGAAATAATTCTATTTTTCGAGTACCTTTTTGGCATCCTATGGCAAATTGAAAAATTTGGTGGCATTTGGAGTAAACTGAGGGTGAAAATGTGTCCAGTTGGAAGGCCTGCCTAAACCTGATTGTTAGATGAATTGCCTAAACTAAGATTGGTTGAACCGATTTTCTCTGAAGATCATGTGAAAAAGAAACTTACCTACTAATTTCTATGAATCGGAATTTTCTTAATCAGTTAGGCTGTTGCGTAAGAGAAGCGAATACTTTTAACATTACACATAAGAACTTGCTTCACACCACAGGCGAGTTTTCGAGGCATTGCAGGAAAATAGAATTAAAAAATCCTTACAAGGCTAGGAATCATGGATCTTAACGGTTTTCTTCTGGAGTTTTTTCAAATTTTTAAAATAGAAAGCACCAAAATATACAATTGAGTACTCTTAAATGAGATTAGGTTAGATTAGATTAGAGGAGGAAGCAGGTCCCTCAGTTACCGCGACCGAAACGATCTATTGTCACAACCCTCTATTCAATTACAGATCTCCTTTGGTGCACGTATTGATAAGAAACCCCGAGAGGTCATTTGGCTGAATGCAAATTTGGTCGTATGCTTCTAGGTGTGATGATCCTAGGAAGCGAAGTCTGGTCCTGCTGAGGGCTTCACAGTGGCAATAATTTGCTCTGCTGTTTCCTTTACTGCGTTGCACAACCTACACTGGTCAGGCTTGCATGTTACCTTCCATGTTTGTCCAGTAATGTTGCGTTTTGCTCTTCATCCAGATATAGCAGTTTCGCGCCTGAAGGAGCTCCATGGCACACTAGTAAAGGGTCCTAGGCCTATAATACCTGTGCAGCCCTCTCCTGGCGAGAATATCTGCCACTTCTTTGCCCATGACTCCACCGTGTCCCCACGCCTATATGACCTATACCCCGTACCTGGTGGCGATAAGTATTAAAAGCTGAAGGCAGTCCCACACCAGCTTTGAGGTGCGAGGTGCGCCGCGCTGTCCCACTTTCTATATGCTGCCTCAGACATAGTTCTATGGCTTGAACCTCGGCCTGAAAACAGAGTTACCTTGCCCCATGCTAGTGAAAAGAAGCCGTCTGTGTTGCATGCCGTAACCTTCTGCTCTGGATGCTCGGGATGGCAAAAAGATCTTGAAGTTTTGTGTGGGGTTAACTCTCGGAAGGCACACCAATTTATCCCGAGTTTTACTCTAATAAATTATACGTGAAATATAAGTAGCTTTTTCACTCCTCCGTGCATTTATCCAGCAAATTTATATTCTTGTTTACTTTATACAATTTTTACTGAGGCTATAACACTACCAAGCATACGAACGTTTGTTTTTTCTTGAATTCACTCTGGCATTCAATCAATCTCTCAAGTACTCCC